CTGTATGTGACTTCTGAGTGTTGTGGGTTTGGTTTTTTTGGTTTTGTTGTGTTTTTTTTTTCGGGAAGATGTTAAGTATTCTTGATGAGCCTAAATGATGCCCCTTGTTTGAAGGCGTAATTTTGAGCAGGCGTTATCGATTTTATTCTGTCTTAGATTTTGTTTTCAGCTGTAGGAATTTGTGCTTTGTGTAATGTGTTTAAACACTCTTTAGCATTTGTTTGGTTTATTTCTAGTGTAGCTCAGTGAGCCGCTTGGGTCGAGATCTTAAAAAAAGCTCTTAAGATATCTGTGCTGTTCTCTCTTCATGTGTCAGTGTGGCAGGTATTCGCTGTAAGTGGTGGCGTGCTGCTGCGAACTGTGGCTGTTAAAATGACCCATGTTAGGGGGGATGAGGTTCCATGTCTGTGAAGAGTTTTGTCAGTTCTCTTTATGATTAGCTTTTCAAAAATTTGTTGTTGTTATGATAAGTTCTTTGGATTTCTTTGCAGAGTTCCAACTCCGAGAAGTGTCCTTGACTCCCTACAATAATGCTGCTTTCTTTGGCCTTGTTTTAGAACTGCAACTGGGGCTATCAGTAGGAAGTAGTATGCTGGTTTTAGCTTTGCAAAGCCAGGTGGCCTGGCACCCTGTCTCTGGTTGAGAGCGGTGGTGATGCACTCTGGCTGCTCCCTTATTTGTTTAAGAAGGAGGAAAAAAAAAACCAACAAAACAAACCATGCAGAAAAGGGATCTTCAAAAGGAAAATGAGACAAGTGTTTGTGACTCTATCTGAAATGTGAAAATGTAGTGGGGCTAGCGAAGACCTGGTGTGGAGAGCTACTCTTGTAGCAGACTGCATTTGACGTGTGTATCATCAGTACTCTTGCGTTATAGAATCATCCATCCCAAATATAAGTATGATGTAATGAATTTTTGGTGTGCCTGATCTTACTGCTGTTTTGGTGGAAGGACTGGTGGAGTGTTGCTTTTTTTTGGGGGGGGGGGGGGGGGGGGAAGGGAGGAATCTCTGTCCAGTAAAAGGTGGTCACTTGTTTCCTGGTTAGTTATTGTTGTCCAACCATGTGACAACTGTTAGACTACCGTAACAAAGTAAAATTAATCTGTGCTTGATAGCATGGGAAGAATAGGATTTTTTTGGCGTGTGAATTCATTACCTTCGTTCAGCACTGCAGTTCTCACCCCAGTTCCTTTCATCAATAACCTTCTACTTAGCACAGTTTCAGTGATATAGCTGTCTCTAAACAGTATGTTCTCCAAATCTGTACAAGAACTCTTAAATGTAAACTGTGTAAAATACTCAAGGCAGATTTTTCAGAGTTCTGTAATGTGGAATATTTAGTGTTGTCATGGAACCTTCCATGCATAATGAACACTGCTTTGACAATGTTAATGATGTACTATCAGAAAAATAAGTCTTCTTTTTAAACTCATTCTGCCAGAAGAAATGACGAGTTGGCACCAAGCAGTCAGCCACAGTTTAGGAAATACTCATCTAAGGTAAAGTAATAATGTGGACTAGATCTGAAAAAGGCTAGGAAAAAAATCCGTTCTACTCTTCGGGTTACTTAAGTGTGTGCTTTCTCATGGTATCCTGTAAGGATGGTTTCACTTACTAGCCCCTAGTCTGACACTTGGCTTTCAGAAATACAAAACTGCAGTTGAATGTCTACGCCTTTCCAAGGCAGAAAACCCAGGAACAGACAAGAAGTATAGAACTTCAAGCATTTCAGAAAGCAGCTTTTTTTTTTTTTTTTAAATTAGAATTTTAGGAGACTTACTTTTTCTGGTAGGGTGAAGCCTCTGAAAAGGTTTTGCTTTTTTTTCCCGTGTATAAATTTGGCTTTAGAGAGTAGCTCTTAAATATTCTTACTTTGATAAAATGTGGCATAATCTAATCATGGTTAGTCCACAAAAAATATATATAATGGTCAGCCGTAGTTATACCATTTTCAGAACACCTAGAAGAAATCCTGAGGAAAAACTCTGCTGCTATTAGAAAACAGCTTTGTCTCTTCTGAATAGAAACAGACCTTACCCTTTTTCTGAAAATGTCTCTTAGGACAGAATCATAAAAGACCTGTCAAGCTTTAGCTCAGTATTGTCCTAGTATTGTAAAAGGGCATGTTACATGTCAATGGCAAAATAGCTCAACGTGTCATGCAGGACAGTACTGCTTTTGCTTATGTGGAAAACAAAAGTGTGCGAGATGACTATTTTAATGCATAGACAAGCTATACAAATACCGTGGAAGTCAGGAGGCCTGGGACACAAGGTGTTTTGAGTAGGACTGTTTTGGAATAATCCACATATGCTTCTTACGGTAGATGGTAGAGAAAGGGTTGTTTTTCTCCCCCCCCCCATGGGTAGTAAGTTATGTCTCACAATTTTTTAATGTCTGAGGTTTTATCTATTTCCTAGAGTAATCTCCACATATGTATTTCCTACATACAATCTCCACTTGTATTCTGAAGACATTTTCACTTGTACATGATAAGTAGATTATACAGTTTAATGAAAACATAGTAATCTAAAGTATCTTATTCATAAGGAATTTCACTGAATAAAGCTGATATTTAGAAATAATCTGAATTGTGGATTAAGCTTAATTTACTTTGCAAGTATCAGAACTGTTTGAGTTAACCATAAATATCAGGGTATTTCAACTAGTTTTTCTAACTAGGTCACATTGGAAAAGAATATCTTCCTGTCTGGAGACTGTATGTAGTAGATGAGGGATGCTGGAACCCTGCAAGGCTGGATTTAGATTTATGTGCTCTCAAGCAGTTTTCAGATGCTGCTTGAAAGTCATCTTGACAGTAGAGAAGAAAGTGGGAAAACGCGTGTACTGTCTGTTTGGGATAGGGTGTGTGGAGGTTCTTGCCAGCTGTGCATATGTGCCAGCTGCAGAATTTTAGTTCTCTCTGAATGGGACTGAATGGGGAGTTTGTAGAGGCTTTTAAACAGCAATAGATATGGAAAGAGGAGTTTTCAGACAGGGAGTTGAAACTGGGACTCCATGGAAGTGGTGGAAAGGTTCACAACAAGCTGAGGTTGGTTGAGTCCAGGATATCCAAGTTGCTTTCTGTGCCTCTGTACTCGTCTTCATTTCTTTCTGTCCTGCAGACGTGATCGTATTCCTGGATCATTCTTCCTGTCAGCAAGACACTTGCGTGTGTTTGCATATTGAAATATGAGGGGAATGGACCACGGAAAGTGGTCTGGGCTTTGTCTCACTCCCTAAGTAATGTCTCCTATCGCTGCTGTTGAAGGCAGAATACTGGGCTGGCTGGATGTTGGTAAGACCAGTAGGCGTATCTTTAATGCTTCTTGTTTTAAAAGAGATGTTTAAGAACAAACAGAATGTTGAACATTTTTTCAAATAAATTTTTACTTGCTTTGCAAATAAAATACAGCTCTTTGAAGGAGAGCTGACTGCAAAAGTAGTAGATGTACATTTTCTCCACATTTCTCCGCTCTGTGATACTTTATTGGTGGCCTAAGTACGAAGTACTATGAACGCTTGTTTTGCCACCGTTTTTTTTCTGAAAGCCTTTCTGTCTTCCCCTGTGTGAAAGAGAGACATCTACACTGAAAAATTTGCATCCGTATGGGGAGCAACATCTTCTGTGGCTGCACTGATTACTTTTGTTAGGGCTCAATAGGGTCATGAGGGATTCTGTAATCATTTATACTACTGAAATGCAAGGAGCAGGGATGATATGAGGGGGCTGGAATACCTCTGCATTTGTAGCTTATGTAAGCATAAGTTTACGTGACTTATTTAAAAAAAAAAAAAAAAAAGTCTTGGCTGCTTTGGCAGTGTAACTGCAGTAGAGGAAACTCAGTGTGACTTGCAAAATTCTCAAAAGGATCTTGGCGGATCTGAAGTGGTTATCAAGTTAGAGATGAGGAATGGAGGGGAGACTCAAGCTACTGAGCCTTCCCAGTCTTGTGCCATCTCTGGTGTCCCTGTGTCGTGCTCACTGAATAGTACGGGCAGGGCAGGTGGTGGCTGTGGAAGGAATTCGTAAGAGTGATCTCAGCAGTGGTGTTATCAGGGCTGGCAATGGGACTGGGAGGTGAAGGGCTGTTCCTCCAAAATACAGGTTATGGAGGAGTAACAGTAACAGAATTGGTGTGGCAGTGTACAAGAGAAGCTTCTTAGCCTGCATGCATTTGGTTAAATCCTTTGGGGAGTTGTCCTTACACATCACTGATTCCATGTCCACCCTGTTGTCTTCCATGTTTCTGTTAACCAAGACACTCCAAGTGCCTGTTTTTTTCTGTCTTTTTTTTTTTTTTTTCCTCCCCGTTTCCTTATTTGAGGATACTTGTTATAATTTCTTGACACCTGGTAGCAATTACTGTACACGTGCAGGAGTTTAGTTGAACTGCTTGTCGTGGTTTAACCCCAGCCAGCAACTAAGCATCACCCAGCTGCTCGCTCGCTCCCCCCCGGTGGGATGGGGGAGAGAATCGAAAGAGTAAAAGGGAGAAAACTCATGGGTTGAGATAAAGACAGTTTAATAGGTAAAGCAAAAGCCACGCAAGCAAAGCAAAGCAAAACAAGGAATTCATTCACTCCTTCCCATGGGCAGGCAGGTGTTCAGCCCTCCCCAGGAAAGCAGGGCTCCATCACGCCTAACGGTTACTTGGGAAGACAAACACCATCGCTTGGAACGTCCCCCCCTTCCTTCTTCTTCCCCCAGTTTATATACTGGGCACGACGCCATATGGTGTGGCATAGCCCTTTGGCCAGTCTGGGTCAGCTGTCCTGGCTGTGCCCCCTCGCAGCTTCTTGTGCACCGGGCAGAGCAGGGGAAGCTGAAAAGTCCTTGACTGGTGTAAGCACTGCTCAGCAGCAACTGAAGCATCAGTGTGTTATCACCATTATTCTCATCCTAAATCCAAAACACAGCACTCTACCAGCTCCTAGGAAGAAAATTAACTATCCCAGCTGAAACCAGGACACTGCTTTATTCCTGAGGATTATGGAAATGCCCACTTTCAATGTTCACTGTGCCTACATGGCATTTATGCAGTGTTTCTGGTATTTTAGGAAGTTTCACACTGTTGAACATGTGCTATGCTGATCTGCATGTCTGCTGTAATTTCAATGTTTTAAACCTGTTGGACTTGCACAAAATAAATATGTTTGGGGAAGTCTAGGTAGAAATATGGAAGCTCTAGATTGTGAAGGTAAGCTTCTAACACAGAGAAATGCTGCCTTTAATATAGCAGTCTGAGTATTTTACATTTGTGTCAATGAAAGAACAGCTGTACTGGACAAGGTCAAAGGTCCACCTAGTCCGTCCCCCTCTGCCCTATCCTGTCCTGCACTGCTCAGATGTTGAGGTCCCTATGGAGCTGTGGAAGGAATCAAAATTATTAAGCCTTCCACCAACAGGCTGCCAGGCGGGAGTTTTCTGAAATGATGCTTAGCTGTAAAATCACACACAGCGTGACTGCTATTTATTTGCATCAGTGAAGGGCTGTAAAATAAGTTTTTGCTCATCTGATAGTGGATGCTCTGTAGAGCTCACTGACTTGTAAATATTGGATTGACTTTGGAGG